GCTCACCCTAAAAGGAAAGATATTTCAAGAAGAGTTATGTCACTCGCACACAAACACCGCTAAGAACAACATACACACTGACTATGCTGGGCTTCAAACTCTTAGACTGCCATTTCTCCCGGGTGCCTGAAAAGGTATACTACTAACACGTTTGGCTTTTTATAGCTGTGCTCTTATCTTCCGTCCATCTCTTCCTCTCTTGGTTCCTCATCCCTCATCTCTGCCTCCACCTCCTCTGCTCCCTCTGCGCTCTTTCCCTTCTTCTCTTTTCATCTCTGTCACTGTCCCCCCAGCTGGCTAGGTGAGATAACTCCTCCACACCGAGCTACTCGCAGCTCATTGGCCAGATGATGGAACACAGGGCACCAATCAAATGCAGAATCGTCAGGTTGTGGAGACCATGAGCTGAGGTATAGAGCCTTTATCTGGTCCAGCTGATTCTTAACTATGTCCCAAACAATCTTACCAAACTCTCCTGAAACACTCTCCACTCTGCACATGAGCTCTGCTCAGTCTAACATGTAACTCCTGTTTGAACAATCAGATGTGTTTGAGAGATAACTCAGGACTCTCACAGTGAGGCTCCATATCGGAGTTCCTTCCTTCTGTGGGTCTAAGGCTGATAAAAGTCCCTGGCTGCGTTTGATTTTTGGTAAATGTGATTGGTAATTACACTCCTGACTGCCAACACTCACACTTACCCAGTACTCATCTTTTTATCAACTTGGATAATCCAAAATAACTCGACTTGTGTGCAGCGGTAAATATATCGGCGTGTCTATTCCTAACGAGTCCTAAAGAGTACAGAAACTTTTTCACCCAAGCTAAAGAGAACGACATGAACCAGGTCACAAAAACAATTATTAAAAGTCAAGGTGAATTGTCAACCACGACACAAGATTTTAAGATTCTACAGTCATGCTAGCGGCTCTGTTAGCCATTCCGTATACAAAAAGGAAAATGCTGATATCAGCATGTCATCATATGTAGACCAGCTCTTAGTTATGCTGCTATAGACTTAGACTACCGGGGGAACTGGCACTTTGAGCTCTTATCTCGACCCCCCCTCTCTCTCTCTCTCTCTCTGTCTCTGTGTGTGCATTCACATCATATTACTGCACGGTAGCTCCTGATCACTCTTAGGTCCCTCTGGATCGGTGGACGACCTGCCTGAACAACCCCCCCTCCCCCAGTTCCCTATCCCTCTTCCTGCATCTTATCCCATCACCCCCTATCCTATTCTTTAAGCACGGCACAGTTTCAGTTTCAGCCAGCTAAAAGGACGTTTTTTCTTGCCACTGTAACTTTTGCTAAATGTTGCTAAAGTGCTCATGATGGATTAAGCTGAGTCTTTGTAATATAGCAATAAGTAAGGTCTTTTACCCTGCTTTTTGTAACATAACAATGAGCATGGTCTTTTTACCTGCTCTTTTGTAAAGTGTCTCGAGATAACACTTTTTATGAATCGGCACTATAACAAACTGATTGCTAAACAAATTGATTGATTGATTGATTGCATAGTTCAGCATGTTAGCATGCTAACAGTTACTGTTAAAAGCAGAGTGTAGCTGAGCTTGATGGGAATGTCATTAGCTTAACAATAAGGTTTACATCATAAACAGAAAGGTGCCGCAGGATCAGAAAGTAAAAGAATCACCAAAAAGTTTGAATTCATCTTGACGAAAAAAAAGATTTCTGCAAGTGCTGATCCAATAGCTGTGAAGAAGCCGACATTACCATCCACACAGCCATGCTGCTCATTTGGCCAAAACAGAACCGAAAAAGTGTGAAAGGGTGCAAAAAGAGAGCAGGAAAAGTTGGAGCTGGGTGAATGGTTTGCACACTATACATGCTCTGTAGAGTCAATGCAGATGAAACAGACTGCTGCTGCTGTTTATTTACTCACCTCTTAACATTTAGAAATACGTTCTATCTTCATAAACCTGTTTCCTAAAATGAACATAAACCAGCACAACAAATCAACAAAAATCGAAGGGGTCTTATAATGCATGCTGCATGCTTATCTGCCATGTTCAGGACTGTCAGTTCTGCTTGACTTGAAGCTTCACTGCTCAACTGAATCATTCATTTCTGCACTCATCTGAATCTCCTGCTGTCTCTTAGCTTCACGCTAAACCACTAGTCACTGCTAACTGCCGTGAAACTCTACTCCCCATTAACACGAGTATGAAAGGAAACTGTGTTGGGAAATGTGTGAAGAGAGTTTGTTTTAATCACATTAGTAACATTAGGACTCAAGCTGTTACGAGGCGCCATGACTGAGTGCTGAGGGTTGAGTGCCCCCTGGTGGTACCTCGCTGACTGTTCGTCTCAGAGCAGAGAAATGTCAAACAGTCCTGTGCTGCCATCAAGTGGTCAGACCGCAAATTACCATGTTTTTTTTTTTTTAAACTGTGCACAGACTAATTCTCCTCTATATCTTCTAAATTGTTCGATTTGTTATTCCTTGAACATTATCTACTTTATAACATCTTGAACTGCACTGTGTTGGTGTCTCACCCATCCAGAGACGAACAACACCCAAAGCTGGGAAAGGTTTACTGGTCTATAACCATCCACCAACGAGCGCTGTCTGACAGTTCATTTGGCTGTTTAGTCTGACCTTTGTCAGCGAGCATCACTTCTCCAAGCTTCAAATGTGAAAACATTTCAAACAGAAAGGTTAATAGGAGGGCTAGGGCCAATTCAGAGAAGGTCAAAGATCTTTCCCTCTCACGTAAAATATCACAAAAAAAAAAAAAAACAACTCAACAAAAAACATCCGTGTGAAAGGCTGATTCAGAGAATGATTTGAAGAGCATTGGTACATAATTAGCTACATTGGGCCGTCACTAGGACTAACTTATTAGGCGTTGTTTGTACTGATCAACAAGCTCCATGTAGAGTGAAAGCAAAACAGGAAAGCATGTTGAATGCGTTAGTTTGCATAAGGTTTCTCTTTAATAAGCAGTTCCAGACATTGGCCAGTAGGTGGTGCTGCAGCCTCTGTTCAGAGTATTCATGACCACGTTGTAATGCAGAAAAGCCCAAAGTCATCCAGTAATGTGATGTCACACATTAACACGGTGCTCACCAGGACATTACTGGGCTCCCCTGGGTCATTTCAAAGGTTGAGGTCATGTTGACTCATCATCACTTTTCTATTCTGAGAGGAGCGCCGATAGAAACGCCCTCCCTGGCTGCATCTGCAGGCCGTAACTGAACCTCTGTGAACATTAAACAGTTCAGAGCAGCAGGTTTCATGATGTCAGCAGAGGGACATGAGCTCTGCGCATAATGCCTTTATTAAAGCCTGATGTAATCAAGGGGCTGCTTGATCAGTTGTAAAATAAAGGATGTGACTAATGATGTTTAAAGCTTGCACACAGAGACAGCAAAGAAAGCTCTAATGCAGAAAACATTTGACTGAAATAGGTTTTGAAATAGACTTTTATTTGCTATATTTTTAAGGTAATATAAGCATATAAAGTATATTTAATACAATTCATGAATACCTCTTGTTTCATAAATTGCTTCCATCAGAAAAAAAAGGAAAATGCAGAAAATCACTCACTGAAAAGGAATTAGTTGGATGGTGATTGTTTTATCTGACTCAAAAAGAAGAAATGAAATTTAATAAAGTTCATAATCACAGGGCGTTAAGACCTAAAGCATTTATTTTCCGATTTTCTTAAACAATGAACTAAATTTCAAAATAACTGCTTCAAGATTTTCAGTAATTTATAATCAAATAATATTTTATTTATCGGTTGTTCTCATGAGAGATCAGCCCTGTAGTCATGAGTGATCTGGTGTGTGTTGGTTATTTAATGATAACAAAATGAATGAAGTGGTGTTTGGTATTTATTTCCATGCTGAATATTGTGTATTTGTGTAAAGGGCCTTTTAAAGGATTGGCTAAATTACATTGTGACCATGAATAGTTTGGCTCTGCTCAGTGCTATAATCAGGTCTCTGTAAAAATAAACATAAATATGTATAAATAGGGTTCTCTACAGAGTTTTGACTTAAAGAAGCGTGACGGTATTCTTGGGTCATTTTATTTTTGAGTACATATTTGTGCAAAGAGGCAGCAGCTGAGCCGATCCAAGCTTCTACAAGAAGTTGTTAAATAGATGATTTTGTAAATGGGGTTTGGTGGCTTTAAAGAGAGAGATGTACCGGCTGTTTCTGGTTCAAATAAATATATTTCTAACTATTTATTATTCATTTAGACCCCAAAATATATGGAAATAGGATCCAGGTTTCAAAATTACAAGAATTACCTATAAGCAAGAACTGGCATAAACTATAATACCGGCTTTAATTCTGAATGCTCAGAAGATATCAATACATGTATGATATCTCAGATCATTTTGACTAGGCACGTTGATTTGATGGTCATTTGATGGAATCGTTGATCGGTTTTGTGTGCGTTTTCCTGTGAAGCTCTTGTGTGTATGAGTGTCCTTCTAGGGATGGGCACTGCAGACCATCTCAGGCTATAACTGTTGTGGTATGCAGCACTGGTCCATGCCTTACTGGTGCCGGTAAAAATAAACATGACACATAAAAAAGTATTGAAATAAAAAACATGTGCCTATAAAAAGAAACAAGTCAATACATGACTCAGTGCAACGTCTTAAATATTCATACAGACACATTGATACCTCAGCATGTGATGGATATTATAGAGGCTATAGCTATGAGTCACATGACATAGAAATCATTTACAGATTATTCTGATTATCTAGAAGAGAAGGCTCAAGACCATCTCATGCAGAGTCACTCCGACATGCTCAGCAGAAACAGATTGTTACAATATTAAACAAAATCAATCCCAGATAAACCTAACAGTACAGTTGCTTCCTATCAGTGGTTGGTTTCCCTCCAGTCTTTCCCTCGAGAGCATTAATATTGATGCCGAGAAGGGAGGCTGACCAAGCTCTCAGTCACTCTCTCTCGCCCATCTCTCTCTCTTTCTCTCCCCCCTCCCTCCTTCTTAAACCCACACCCTGGATACCCTGCACACACCGGCAGATTGACTCAGCTTCCGTATCGCTCTCCCTTCTCCATCTCTGTGTCTCTATCCCTCCCTGCTCTCTCCGCTGGTGGATTTTAGCCCCCTGCTAACACACCGGTAAGAATGAATCATCTCTCCTTCGAGCGTTGTTTTTTAAATTTCTCTCAGTGTGTGCGTGTGTCTATTTGCTTTTATTTTAACGATGTCTAACAAAGGATCAGGGTGTGGCTGGGTGAAAAGAAGCAGGCTGCTGACGGTGGAAACGGGATGCTGAGGTTGATAGTGGTGATGATGAAGGAACAATGGAGCACATGTTTTGAAGAATTAGGGTGAGATTATGGATGCTAATGTTATCATCAAGACTTGGCAGAGCCAGATATGCACACCTTTGTAGCTTATGACAAATGATCCAACGGGCCTTGTTTCAGGAACCGCATTGAAATTCTGGCCATGCGCTATGTCGCACTGATTCTATTAGGCCCCATTCACATTGACACGATTAGGATTATTTAATTTTACAGTAGCTTGGTGTGCAGATGACTGGCTGCAGGCTGGTGGGCTTGTCACATTTCCACAGCAGTCTCTGACAGAGCAATGGTTCAGAGAGGCGTGACTGGGCCCCGACTGTGCAAGACAGATCAGTCAGACCTGAGGCTAGGTCAGGAATATGACTGCAGTGGAGCCTGTGGTGGAGCACTGGCTGGATCCAGCAGGCTGCAGGGGTGGATGCAGAGAGAGAGAGAAAGGGGAGAGAGAGGATGCAGAGGGAGAGAACAAAGACCTCAGCCTGGGAGAGAGGAGAAAAGGTAGAGACAAAGAAGATCAGACAGATTGGTAAAAATAGGCACATGTTAGTTGCATAGACATTTTGGTGTGTGGGAGGCGGCCACCACTCACAGGCGTGCATGCATGAGAACGTGTCTGCACAGAAAGGGAGTGGCTACGACATGTGCTGCTCAGTCGGATACAAAGACAGAAAAATCTCATTAAGTGTCAGATAAAAAGATTAAGATAAAGAGCCCTCGTTATGATTGTCAATCATTGCTATTATTCTGTAGAATATGTGTATAAAATCTATTATGTCACAGTGTATTATCTTTATAACTGCTGACAGGAAAGGTCAAACATGTATGCTCAGGTTTTTTCTCATCTTTCCCAGCTAAGATGTCTGACAAGCCTGACATGACTGAGGTCGCCCGCTTCGACAAGACAAAGCTGAAGAAGACAGAGACAAAAGAGAAAAACCCTCTGCCCACCAAAGAGAGTGAGTGACTCCTCGTGTCTACAGTGTGTCTGTGTCTCTGGGCAGAATGAAAGCCTCAGTTCCCTGCAACAATTTTCCTGTCAGTAGCTGCTCATCGACTCAAGTGCTGTCAGCAGAATACACGCTCGACAAGCAGAGCGGCAAAAAAGCTAATTGTTGCAACATCAGCAGATAACTGATGCAACAGAGGATCCAAAAGCATGCATGCCGCTAATGTATGCACTAAAACAAATTCAAGTCTAGCTGGCCTAATCCGTCTGCTTCTTTTTCTTTTTCCAGCGATCGAGCAAGAGAGGAAAGGCGATGCCACACCTTGACTTCTGAGCACACGAAGAAAAAAAGAAGCTGAGATGCCACAGCAAAAAAAAGCACTTTCTTTTGATTATCACAGTATTTCAATCTCTTGCTTTGTCTTCAGAAAAAGGGTGCTCTTGAGCTCCCTGGGGTGCTGTAAGGGGTATATGGCATCCTCACATGGGGGCTCTCTTACCACTAGGGATGAAAAACTTTAGCCTGGGTGCCTGCCTTGCACTGTTAGCATGTAGCTAGCGTGTCCCAATCGTTGCCAAACTGGGGAGTGGTGTAGTTGTGTAGTGGGGTAGCACAGGTAGTTAGAAAGGCAGGCCTCCAGGCTAGGGGGGAGGTGGGGAGGATAGGGACTTGGGACTGGAGTCTAATCATGTGGGCTGTTTTCTTAAAAAAAACTTTTTACTTTTCTTTTTGAAATAAATATGAAGACATTCAACCAGACTCTCCTGAATATTCCTCTCTCTGTGTTATGTCCGTGTTTTCATTTCAAGTTGACGCACAAACTCATGGGGAGGGGATGGAACAAGAAGAAATAATACACAATACGACTGAATAGTCTGGTCTACCTACAGCTGGTCTATACAGTTTATAAAGTATTGCATTATATTATTATGTATGTAGCACTTATCATCTTATGATGCCATAATATAAATGCATTGTTTCTATGACAACCTAAGAACACAACATTCATCTACAGTGTTACTTTATGTATTAAGTTTTGAAAAGTTAATGCTCAACAGAGGGCCATATGTCAGATCACTCTGCTGCTTATTTTCATCCCTAAGATTCCTTTAAGCTTACGTGCAGCAAATATTTGATTATTAAGAATAAACATAATTAATTAACACAAAGGTTAATACTCATAAAATCATTATGCATCGATACAGATATCTGAATGTACCGATAAACAAGTTAGCAAACGAGTAAGTGAATAAGTCATTCACTCAACTCATGAGGAAATATTCCATCTTTTGTTATATTGATTTAACAAGGTAGCTAGCCTGCTACCAGTTCATGCTAACATGCTAACTGGTTTCCAGCTATCACTGGAGCCTCAGTGGGTTTATTATTGGATAAAAAACTGGATCAAACTTTACCATTAAAGTCGTCAGAAACACAAAAGAGGAATAAAAGTTTAACAGATGTATATTGGTTTTGGTTAGTATTATATGATTGTATATGAGATATTTTACAACCCAAACAGTTCATTGATAAAATCATGACATAGGAAAGATTCAGGTCCCTATATTTGTATCTGTAGGTTTGTTTGCTGAGAGAGTTGCATAATAAAGCACAAACTGTACACTGATGCAGTACATAGGCAAAAGTGCAGACGTGCATGAAGTACTGAGACCCCAGACAAAGTAAATTGGCAGACCAATAGACAATCAACCCGTTGGGTATAAGAAGTCATGCTTATTCAGTGAATATCAACAGCAATATCAGTGTGGTAGTTGTAAGACTCCCAATGGAAAAGAAACACACTGAAAGTAAAACATAACAATATTGTGTTTTTTTTTTTTCTGTTTCTTTTTGTTGCTGTGGCTATGATGGGCTGGCTGTGGGAGCCTGATGGAGGCTGATGTGTTGATACAGTGAAGACAGTGAGGATTGATGACGCAACAAATTATTCAATCAAAGACACTATGAAAAAAATCCTTCATGAAATAAAAGTATAACTTTGAGAACAATAGCATTATAACTAAAAATATATATATAATAACATACAATCAATAAGTGAAAAACTAATTTTATTATTTGGTCTGTATTAAAACAGATACGTTTTTTTTTTTTACATTTGAATTGAATTTCATAGCCGCCAACAACAATGGTCATTTATGACCCAGAATCCGTCCCTGAGTGATGTCTCTGGCTGGCGTCAGTAGTCCTGCCACCCTTCCTCAGCCTGACAAACTTGCCACCTCCTGAGCCTTTATTGCTCGATTTCTCTCACCTCACGCTGCCATAAATCAGCCGTCAGCGCTCCTAATGTGTCTGAAATGTCTGTTAGAACTCTTTAATTAATGCGCATTTTTACCCCATGTTATTTTAGGCGTAAAGGTCCAGACCCTGCAGTTTCCTCTCTTAAGAATTAGCTGGAATACACATCGTCCAACCTTGAATAAAGAAAGTGTATATCCATGAAATGACGAGCACTTTAACTACTACCGTTAGGCTGTGCGATAAATGGTGGTCATAAATGTATCAAATGATTCACTTAAAAAGTGACATAAATATTGTTGAATAAGACAAATGAAGAGTAAATTAAATATATTTCATTAACAACCCACGTGAGGTGCCCTCGAGAGTTTCGATGTAGCACCCACGCTGAAACACGCCCAGTGACATACAGTCCTATTGTTTGCTATTATTAACCCATTCAAATCGCTAAAGAGACAAATTATGAAGCATTTTGATCGCCCTGAATTATTTGGCAGCCAGGTGTTGAGGGGGCTCTAGGTTTCAGTCATATTGCAGTATGAATGAGGGGTCATGTCTAATTAGTAGGGATTATCCTCACCTACACCTCTCCACTATTGTGTGCACGACCTCGCCCAGCTGCCCGGCCATTGTCTGGCGCGCACAGTGAATGGTTGTTTTAGCGGATTTTGAGTGGTTTAAAGAGGATCTGACAAGTGTAAACGATTTCTTTAAAAAAAAAAAAAAAAACTCTTAATGTTCATCGCTAAGCCACTAACTTCTCTCTCATCAAATCACAAAATGAGTATGAAATGACAGAAACTGCAGTGATGACTGTTGATGATGATGATGGCAGTGATCACGAAGCCTAAATCAAGGAGGATAATCAGCGGAATTAAGAGTGATTTCATGGGACTGAGTTGACTAATGGATAATCCTACAATTCTATAATAACAGCTCTACATGCTTTTCATCCATATAGACTACTTACTTTTGCAACAGGCTACAATCATTTTTACACCGATATAAGTGACAATACGATATTAAAATCGCTTGTTAAAACTTTAAAACTCCTATTTGTTTATTTGTGTAAATTCCAGACTGTTTTCACACCAAGTTGCTTCCCAGGGAAACATCTATTATCCTATTATCACGGCGATGCCAATGTCGCCACAGTGTGAGGCAGTATTTACATGACTATATACCAACAGCTCCTGAAAGGCTTTGTAGTCACTGTCTTTCCCACTGGGACACTGGTGCCATTTCCCAAATTCAAACTCCACATGTACCCTTTTTATCGTCACAAAATAAGGTTAAAATATGTCGACTACTCTTAACTATCTTTACAGTGACCCTATGCCCAAATTCTTGTTCACCAAATTGTCTCCTTGCACCGTTTTCATTTTAAGTTACATCTAAATAAATACGAACAATAAAATGTTTTTTATAACTTTATGTTGTGTTCATTTTTTTCGTAATGTCCTGAGATAATATGCGCTGTTAAAATGTGCTTGATGTGTTTTATTTCGTGGGAAGAGAGTATGAGGATTAAGGCCTGGGAATGACAGGTGAATGAATGAGGGGCTGTTTCACTGTCTGCGTCACTTCTTTGAAGTGCACTTATGCACCGACGGCTCCTATTTGTCTCTATAGGACGCAGCAATCAATGTCGTCGTTGAATCCTTTTCACAGCGAAACGTTACCTGCAGGACAAATCTGTCAATCAAAGGGGCATGACCATATAAATATCATCAGCGTGGAGTCCGGCTACAGCTTCAGTTGCCTTCTTCTCTCGTGGTACTCACATCTCTTGGATACAAACTAACAGGACTTGGTGTGGATTACAGCTGCTATGGGACCTTTGAATTTTCTTCCAGCCTTGGTTCTATCCATGTGCTGTCATGTCCAGTTTACATTAGCTTGGTATGTCGCTTTCACTTTAGGATGAATTCGTTAAAAAAAAAAAAAAACACTACACATGTTTATTTTGTGAGATGATGACCAGATTTTAATGTTGCTGTCTTGTTTCTTTCTCTCTATAGGACAGTGAATAACTTCCTCATGACTGGACCAAAGGTAAATATATTTTTGCTTCATGCATCTGGAACCTAGTTGTGCGTAAAGGCGCATCTGGGGCATCCAAACTATGTATTACCTGTTTTTCCACCAAAGACTTTTTTATCTAAAGCACAACTCAACTAACTTTAGCCTTTTCTGTCCTAAGGCTTTTCTGACCTATGCCAGCAGTGTGCAGTTGGGCGCACAGAGTGGAATACAAGAGTGTAAACACCAGTTTGCGTGGGAGAGGTGGAACTGTCCAGAGAACACGCTCCAATTATCCACACACAACGGCCTGAGAAGTGGTAAGACATGTGTTTTCGTATATGTGTATGTTGGCATGACATGCAGCTGTGAAGTGATGCGCAAGATTCCAGCAAGTGTAATATGTGTTTATAAAAATGTATGCTTCATTACAAGGAGGTAGTTGCCAATGGTGCACCCTGATTTAAAAAAAAAACATACATACGTTGCTTGCTGGACCCACACTGTTAAACTCCTGTTGTTGTTCATAATTAATCTTCTATGAAGCATTTACGCACGGTTTACGCGACTTTTACGCACGACGTTTGAGAGTTGCCAATGCACATTTTTGTAGTCAAATTTGATCTCAAAGATTAACATTTTTTTCTCCTTTCTTTGCCACTTGTTGTAGCCACAAGGGAGACATCTTTTGTCCATGCCATCAGCGCAGCCGGGGTGATGTACACGCTCACCAAGAATTGTAGCATGGGTGACTTTGACAACTGTGGCTGCGATGACTCCAGGATTGGACAGACAGGTACATTATTATATATTGCTGGTTTCAAATAGACTATGTGAGATTTAACATTTATTGTAAGAGTTGAATTATTAAAGTATAATGATTTTGAATCCCCAGGTGGACGAGGGTGGATTTGGGGTGGCTGCAGTGATAATGTGGCATTTGGAGAGAAGATCTCCAAACAGTTCGTGGACGCACTAGAAGGTGGTCATGACTCGCGGGCATCAGTCAACCTGCACAACAATGAAGCAGGCAGACTGGTAAGTTGTTCTTAAATTCTGACTGGAATCCATGGATTTATTTATTAATCATTTAAATTATCATCAAGAATAAAAAGTGGTGCATTTAGTCGATGGGATTTCTGCATGTCAAAGTGGGTATTTAATTTAAATATCTTATTCTCTGCGCAGGCAATCAAAGCTACCATGAGGAAAGCCTGTAAGTGTCACGGAGTGTCCGGGAGCTGCAGCATCCAGACCTGCTGGATGCAGTTGGCCGACTTTAGGGAGGTGGGGAGCTACTTGAAGATGAAGCACGAACAAGCGAAGAAGCTGGAGATGGACAAGAAGCCTGCAAGGGCCGGAAACAGTGCAGACAACAGAGGAGCCATCGCGCACACTTTTCGGAGCATCGCTCGGACGGAGCTGATTTACCTGGAGGATTCCCCGAATTACTGCGTCAAGAACCTTAGCCTGGGTTACCAGGGCATGGAGGGGAGGGAGTGTCTGAAGGGGAGTAAGAGCACCGGTCATCGGGAGAAAAAAAGCTGCCGCAGGCTGTGCTCTGAATGCGGCCTCAGAGTGGTGGAGAAGCGCATTGAGGTTGTGAGTAGCTGCAACTGCAAGTTTCACTGGTGCTGCACAGTCAAGTGTGACAAATGTATGCAGGTTGTTACTAAATATTACTGCGCACGTAGAGACGGCGGAAGAAAACCACAAAACAAAACGAGGCGCAGACACCGCGAGCGTCGGCAATGAAAACCAGATGTTGTAAAGACTTCTCATTACACTCAGCGTTGGCGACATCATTGATTAAACTCTGTATTAGAACATGTTTATTTATATTCACTTGTTCTTGTCACCTGAAGCCTTTAAATGCACTTTATCTGATGGATTTCATTTTGCTATTCTATCAGTTCAATTCTTTCAGACCAAACTTTCCACGCATGCTCACACGCTGGTGTTCGTGTTAAGGGACTGATGGTCAGATGTATTGTTTGTCTTCTGTGAAGACTGAAAAATGTCGAATATTTTATGTTTAAATTGTCCAAATAAATATTTTTTATAAAATATGGAGGACTCAGTCTGATATGTAAGAAGTTAAACTGCTCGCAGCTTGTTGTATATTGGCTCCCTGGACTCACGCAGCCGTAGGGAAGAGGATAAACTGCTGCTTAATGCCATCCTTTGAAGTGCGCATATAGGCGTTTCCTGAACCCGTCAACCAATCAGCTGTCTTGGGCCTATGAAACAAAGAACAAGAGATCCAGTTGTTCTTCATTCAAATAAAAGAGAAAGTTTCAGCGCACAGGTCGAAATTAACTGCATCTTTGCATTGAGGAGTAACGGAACAGATGGAAATGATGCATTCCTTATTTTGGCTCCTGGCTCTTTTGCACACAATATGTCCGGGACAAGCTTGGTAAGAGACTAATCACACTGTGGCTGCATGTTGTCTCACACTTCAGTTAAATTGAGCGCAATAATTATACTCAATCTTCTTCTCAGGTTGGCAGGCAACTTACTTATGACAGGACCAAAGGTAAATACAAATATTTGGTTTCTCGGGTTATAAAATAGATAAGCTGTTTTCAAATAAGGGCAGAGTATGACATTGCATCTCCCGCAGGCCTATCTCACCTATACAAGAAGCGTGCAGATTGGCGCACAGAGCGGCATTGAGGAGTGCAAACACCAGTTTGCGTGGGACAGATGGAACTGTCCTGACAGCGCAATCCAGCTCAAAGGCCTGAGGCGAGGTAGGTCGAGAATGTAAAGACAAAATAAATATGTATTAACGTACTGATGATGCAGAGCTTCTTAAAGCCCGTATCTGTGCGTAAAATGTTAAAGAATGCCCCTACATCCACATCATGAAGTGAAATGGAATGGATAGTTCTTTCTGGGGTATAAAATATGGTTGTCCGTGACCCATTTTTGCTTCACTCATTATCATAGTTTGCAGAGACTGGTTTGTTTTGGTTAAAATCATAATGGCGAAGTTGCAGCCAAAATACAAGTCGGCATTGTTTGTTTTGTTTATTTTTTGTTTTGGAGTAGGCTAATTCATTAATATCAACTAATCTTTTTTTTCGTTGACAGCCACCAGAGAGTCATCTTTTGTCCACGCCATCAGTGCAGCGGGGGTCATGTACACTCTGACCAGGAACTGCAGTCTCGGAGACCTCGACAACTGTGGCTGTGATGTTTCCAGGAACGGGAAAATTGGTAAGGTTTACAGAGCCGAAAAATACATTTTTTTTAAAGATAATATTAACTTGTCTGATATGGACCGTTTGGTTTAGACCTTTAAAATCAATCAAATGATTGTTCTTTAATAATTGAAGAGAGTGATAGTTGGTCATTAAAGGGGTGTGTTGTGTTCAGGCGGTCGTGGCTGGCTGTGGGGTGGCTGCAGTGACAACGTGGATTTTGGGGAGAGGATTTCCAAACAGTACGTGGATGCGCAGGAGACTGGTCAGGACTCCAGGGCTGCCGTCAACCTGCACAACAACGCGGCCGGGCGCTTGGTAAGTCATGGTCACATGTAAAAACCCATTTGTTAAATAGAGCGCAGGTTAGGTCGTTTACAATAATGATCTTTCCCTGGTTTCCCAACAGGCAGTGAAGGCAACCATGAAGCGTATCTGTAGGTGCCATGGCATGTCTGAGAGCTGCAGTGTCCAAACCTGCTGGACGCAGCTGTCTGAATTCAGAGAAGTCGGAAACTACTTGAAGCTCAAGCACAATCAAGCGCAGAAGCTGGACATCGACAAGAAGCGCATGCGGGCCGGAAACAGCGCGGACAACAGAGGAGCTATCGTGGACGCGTTCAGCAGCGTCGCCCCCACAGACCTCATCTACCTGGAGGACTCCCCGGATTACTGCAGGAGGAACACCAGCCTGGGTCTGTACGGCACAGAGGGCCGGGAGTGTGTGCAGCACGGAGAGGCTCTGAGCCAGTGGGAGAGGCGCAGCTGCCGTAGGTTGTGTCATGAGTGCGGCCTGAGGGTGGAGGAGAGGCGCACAGAGGTAGTGAGCAGCTGCAACTGCAAATTCCACTGGTGCTGCACGGTGAACTGTGAGGACTGCTCCCAGGTTATAGTGAAACATGTGTGTGCAAGGAGGGAGGGAGATGGACACAGCTTCAGACGGAGATACCACCGGGGACCCAGTTCCCTGTCTAAGTCAGTAAATATGTAAAATAAGGGCCCATAAATATGTTGAATGTCTGTTTGCACTTTTCATCTAACTCCATGTCTCTATATGTATAAATAATGATATCTATTTATGAATATTGTGTTTTTTTTTAATTGAAATAAAGATTAAAAAAAGACATATTCCTGGGTCCATCTTTCTTTACATTTCACAACTCAAAACAATTTGGTTATTTTACTTAATAAACCCAGGGGTTTGAATTATATGACAGGGCACCCAAGCATTTATTAGAATAAGAATGGAGTGAATACACTTAACAGAGGATTACATGGATAACATGGTGCACTTCACACCTAACCCAGATGTTGATCCAGCAGTTGATCCACTATCACTTTGATGTCAACGTGTATTGATTTCATTCAAAGAGCAGGGAGGCTTTGAAAGACAAATTAGAGAAGTATTTCCAGGTATTTGGCCCCTTAATCCGGGACACCCCTGCCTATGCTATAGTCTCTGTCACATCCCACAGGCAATGCAAATTTCTCACAATACATCAAAGCCTTAGAGGGGAAATGCACTGTCAGATTGTAACAGAACAATTTGACCACGCTCCACGTTAGTTTGACAAAAAAGAGAGAAAGAGAAGTTATAAATAATCATGTCTTCCACTCCACCTTGGATACCAGTTCATTTATAATCTTATAATTTGCAAGTAATTAGGTTTTAGACGAGCCTTGTCTCCGCCCACAGGCCTATCTGTGTCTTAGGAGCCATTCATCTCCTCCTTCTTCCCTCTACCCCCTGTATCTCCAAAAATCTTCCTCTCAGCTGGACGTGTCATAAATCTGCCCCATCTCAGCTCGATGAGTGATGGAGTGGATATTACCTCCATAGTGCCCGGGGGTGTGAGGGGGTGGTAGTGTAACAGAGAGAGGGCTGTTCCACTATCTTTACAGAGCAGTCAGCGTAGAGGCTGTAAACAAGATAAGTGAGAAATTACAGCCTGATTATCTTTACACTAGATCAACATGCTGTCAGTTTAGATTATCAATGTTATAGTCAAAGGAGTGCTGGTAATCATTTTTCATTTGTGCTGTTTAAATTTGACATTTTAGCTGAGAGTACAAAGAGAGCATATCCAAACTGCTTTAGAAACCCCTCTGAATAAAATGTCTAGCATTTGGGTAAATGTAAGATAGGGACAAAAGGGCTTTTTTTGCTTTTGAAACGTCTCACAAGAAATGACAGAAAAGCTAAGAAACTACCTTTACACGCAGGGTAACGCAACCAAAACACAGACCAGAACGCTCCCTCCCATAGCTCCCATTTGTCTGTTTTCTTTGTGGGGATGTCCTGTATTTCCCATGCTCCCCTGCTGTGTGTTAATGAAGGTTTCACCCCACTGGAAGTCCTCACTGACCAGCCCCTTGTTTCTGCTCCCCCCCTGAGTACATTATTGCTACCATATTGGTCCCATATGATGTTATTGCTTGCTTGTGCTGTTCTTCTACTCCTGATGCTTTACTTCTCCTAATTTGACATTTAAAGGGGAAGGGTTACTCATTTTCCTTCAACATTTTTGTGCTAATGGCGTTTTTCCTACTATCTTGGACATGAGCTTTTCTAAACATCATCTTCGGCTAATCTGATACCAAGATAAGTGTTCCATGGTTTGTGTTATAGTTAAAACTCTAACTAACCTCCACAGCAGCAGTCTCATGTCTTACTTAATCTTCTCCAATCAGGACAGAAGAGGAAGAAAACAAGAGGGGGATGATCTCCCACAAGGACCCCCCAGGAGGACTCATGTATTCACTCAGACATGCCTGGGGGATCTGAGCATGATTGATCATCCCTCCTCTCTGCTGCCCTCCTCTCTCACCTGGGTGTGAGATACCAAGAGGCCCGGCACAGGACAGGCTGGGACACAAGATCTGACACAACCTCAGACAATGCAAAGTTGTAAATTAGAAGAAAATAAAAATGACATCACTACATGACTGACAACCAATATCTCAGAGCAGCTATTGATTTATGCAGGTAAATAAACCTAAACATCCAAAATATTAAGATCTGACAGATAATACCATGTTTGATAACAAATCTACAACTTACAACATCAGACATGCAAGTCAGAACAAACTAAAGTAGTGACCATTGAATTCAGATACCTGTCTATCTATAGGTGTATGAAAAGGAAGTAACAGCTTCTATACTTAGAGGTTGCTAAACTCACTGTGCGTGTATGCGCTAGTTTTGTACTCCTTGAGTGCTTTACATAGCCACTGAAACTTTCCACTTTGGTCTTATTCAACAGGAAATGGACACGTTACAAATTTGATTGTTAAAGTAGTCCATCTTCACTTTCATTTTAAAAGGTTGGCTGAGGACTTACAGAGAAAACCGTTTTGTGAGTCTACTGCAAAACAAAAAAAAGTTCCACTGAACAGGTCCACTTCATTAGAGCCGAAGTGATACTAAGGAGAGACAGGCATGAGTTTAAACAATGTTCCCTCCAAGAGGGAGATGATGCGGTGGAATCCACAGAGTCTAGCCGACTACATGAGGAGGGTGAGTACGAGAAGAGGTTGAAATGTGACATTGTTGCATCGTCATGTTTATTGAAAAACTTGATGTTTGGCTCAAATAAAAAATCTAATCTGTGAAATATACATGAAAGAAATGAAGCCATATAATACTTTACATTGCTCGTTCAATGTATTCTTACTTAGAATAGCCATTTTTGGCAAAACATTTCAAAACAAAACTAATTGAATCAGACCTACTAAATCTTATTTTAATTATACAAGTTCACACCTACTGGAAATACTTATACTGGTATTTTCATGGGTGGCATTTTCTCAGCTAAATCTAACAGGCTGTGACAAAGCAGTGGTGAAGGGCGGCATTAGTGGAGCACAGTTCATGGTAAGTGTGTCTAAATCTCTAGAGGACTTTGCATGTCTTCTGAAATACTTTGATACTGATTTTCTGTTTTTCCGTGATATTTAAATCATCATTCAGAAAATGACTGCGCTTGACCTCCAAGTGTTCCCCGGCCTTTATGTCCCGTGAGTCTGTCCAAAATGATTTATGGTGATGAATAGTTACAGTGCTGTCATGACACAATATGTTGTCTATTTTTGACTGACCTCATCTAGTGGCAGCTTGAGTCATTATTATTTTATCTATTTTTTTCTTTCAAGAGTAATTTCTAAAATCCAAAGTGAAATCCGCAAGGGAGACCAGAGGAAGGCTGTTGGACAAAAGTAAGAGGATAGATTTTTATTTTACAACTTTAACTGAATGTGTGAGTGTAACCAAACCGCATCAGATATATTTCAAATTATTCTCTTTTTTTTTTAAGATCAAAGGCACAAAAGTTTCCACAACAAGGTAAGGAACAGGGACGTTTCAACCAAGGAGCAGCTGCTGGTGTTTAAAAAGGAAGCAAATGTGCAATAGCTGCAGTTCCTCGAGTGTCCACTTGAGGCTGACCGCAAAAGCCCCAGTCCCTTGTTGTTAAATAGAGCGCAGGTTAGGTCCCTTTGTATTAAAATGCTCTTTTTTTACAGCAGAAATACACACGTTTAAAGCTGGTTACAAAAACTTATTTTGGTTTGAAAAGCTCATGTCTTTAATTGTTCACACTGCATAGGGGGTGATTTTTTTAACTGATCCGTTGTGATTGTATTAATCAATCAATCTTCATTTGTATAGCACTTTTCATACAACAAATGTACCACAAAATGCTTTACATCAACATAAATCAAACAGCAACAACATGACTCTCACTTCAGATATGCCATTCTTTTGAAATCTCCTTGGTACAGTCCGAGTCAATATGTCCAGCAGAGAGAATGCCTGATAATATCCATGTACTGTCCCATCAGCCGACCTCTGATACTCTGATTCTAACTGACAAAGCACATGCAATCTATCAACAATGACATTAAGAGACAAATAACTTAGGGAATTAAAAAAGGACGAGTTGAGTGAGAAAACTGTCAAATCAAATTCTAATTTTCTTTTTCAATGGATGTCAATGTTACTGAGTGTATTGAATGGGCCATATCAATCACAGACCCTTTAATGAATTAAATCAAGACAGTTCTGAGGCGGACTTTGATAATTTCTCCAGATTTTAATACAATATTATATAGTGAAGGAGCGTGTGAACAATGAGGTTATGGTATTGATAAGAAAATGTTTACACAGTTCTTTGTTTATTTTCCGCAGCATTTGTACAGGAGGAGGAGGTTTGGGACTCGGATGAGTTTGTAAGTGAAGTATTGTGAAGTACTTGAGACTCAATATGTCGGTTAACAAAATGAAACAGCATTAAGTGATCAAGTAAAGGGCAAACGGCCAAAAAGAATAACTCATAAAACTGAATTCTACCATCTGAGTCTCTCCTTACTCATGTCACTTTGGTCAGGAAAATGAAAGTGATTATGACGAAGAGGCTCAACATCAGGCGAGAGGGGAAGATGGCTACATCTGTGCCCTGATTGAGCCTCAAGACGAGGAGGCCAGTTCAGATGAGTATGAGGTGGGTGAAGTCACAACAAAACCCACTCCACAGCCAAGACCGGCTAAACTTCAGGACAGTAAAGACAGAGGTGAGAGAAAGCAAAACAATGTGAAAACACATCAGTTGTTCTCATGGTTTCTATTTGATATATTTTGAGAGCAGAACTGGTGCTCATATTTCCTGAAGGATTTGCTTACAAAATGTGTCTCCGTACGCGAGTAGACCCAGTCCCGTTGCCTGCTGAAAGGATCGTAAGACCTCCAATTCCTTGTCCACCAAAAGTTAATAATGTTCCTCGGAGAGCCCTGAGAGCATCAGGTTGCCTTTATATTTAACAAATCCACAACCACAAAACTAATTTATCATTATGTTGATGTTCATGCTTGATGTACATGTTTTTCCTTTGGTATCAACAGCAGGCCAACCCATTCTGCCTATTGACAGGAGTAAGAAGCCTGGAAAATCTGGCCCATCAAAGAATGAACCTAAAATATCAAGTATGTGCTGCTTAGTATGTCTGGATTGGTCAGAACTTATTGAAGTTACAGGTTTAACCATTTCCATTTCATGTCCACAAGAGGGCAGCACTGCCGAGGCTTCAAGCCCATCCACCAGCAAGGTTCCTAAACCAAGACCTCCAAAGCTCACAGATCTGTATAGCAGGTAAGCAAACTCCAACAATTAATGAGACTTAGCAAGACCATCACTCTGAAATGCATTTAATAAAGTTTTTAATTGTGTTAATTTTCATCTCCTTTATCCCAGAACAAGTACACCGATCCAACCCCCTCCATTGCCACCACAGCCAACCCCAGTTAACATTTCAATACCAGATTCAGAACAAAAACAGGTGAGAATTAAAAGCGGGTTCAAAAATATGACTCCCAAAAATATACTTAGCTTTTTTTAGGTACATTCAGAATAGAAACAGCAGATGGCGATGTTTGAAAAAAATAAATGAAACACCTTTCTGTCATTACAGAAGAGACAAAAAAAGAAGAAAGACTTAGTTTACTTAGCCCTTACTATGCCTGTTTTAATCTAGTGCATCCAGGATCTGGATCCCAGCTGGTATGGAGGACAGTGGACCAGACATCAAGCTGAAGTTGCTCTCAGAGAGGTGAACAAGGTCAGGTGGTGCCTCTCACACTCTCACCCTTCTTATCCCCCACTGGAGCAGTCTGGAGCACACACACACATTCACAAGCATGAAGCTGACATTTCAATGGATTGTAACCACTACTAAATCATGTTCGTTCATGGATTTGTCAATCTTTTTCTCTTTAGGATGGGGCATTTATAGTGAGGGACAGCTCAAAAAGTTCTGAAGATCATCCCTACACCCTAATGCTGCTGAAACAAGAAAAGGTTTTCAACATTAAGATCCGTAACCAAGGCAACTCCTACTCCCTGGGCACTAGACTCAACAACAAGGTAAACTTAAAATGATGATGTCATTATCTAAGATGTTAAAAAAAGAGAGAAAATGATGTCTGTGCTTCGGCAAAGTACACTGAAAAGTTCACATCTTGTGACGCCTCTGGGAGCGTCTGATGCAGACTTATGCTGCGCTGCATCATTAGGTCCCTGTCATCTTTTTTTGTCTGCTGCTGTGCTGTAGAGTTTCCCTGGGGTGAAGGAAATGATTACCCATCACACACACAACCCGCTGCTGCTCATTGATGCAGCAGATCAGAGCTCTGAAGCACAGAGTCTGTGCTGTCTGCTTCACCCTGCGGGACTATGACCAGTACCAGCATCGGGATTAATGTGGGTGTTTCTCTATGCTAATTTGTTTGCATGTATTCTTGAGGCTTGCTAAGAATCATTTCATAAAAAACCTCTGAACATATGTCACAATTAAAGAGGTCCTTGTTTTGTTATTCCTTTTCATAGTGACTATAATTATACTTTCAGTACAAAGAATAATAGAAAAAGATTGTTTTGAAAGTGCAAATTGTTTTTGTATATTCTATTAAAGTATGTTTTTGCAGACACACAGCATTACCTCTGTTCTTTACGCCTAAGATTCAGACCAAGCTGGAGGCTGCTGCTGCTGCTTCAGTGCCTCCTCTTGGACTTTCAGAAACACCAGCTTGTCAGGGTGGCCAACACAAACGATCAGATCACAAAGCTTCAGCTGGGTTTGCACTGCAGGCGGAAAACAAATCTCTTCCTTTACAACTGTCTCAGGCCCAAGATGTCTCAACTCAAGTTACTTAGCAGAGTATGTTTGAGGTTCCACACCAAGTTTGATAAGACCGAACAGGAAATGACCTGAATGATTAACTTCAACATGTACATTCCTTTCTAATCTGTCCTGTTGTTATAAAGTGAAAGTCCTCATTGTGCAGCAGAAGAACATTTTAATATAAATAGCTGTGGATCACTGAGAAAATAATTTTATGATAATATTATTTATACTGAGACTAAATTAGATGAGTATGTGAGTCTTTTTGGACGTTAATTGCTCAGCAAAACAATGCAAAATGGAAAACAGAGGAGCTACTCACAGCTGGAATAATGAAAACAGTTAGGGGACAGGGGTGATAAAGAAGATAACATTTTTATGGCAGCATATTCAATCCCAGTGAAAATAATTATCTTTTAGTTTTTTATGGGTTTTTTTTAATTGGAAAATGGCAATAACTCTCTAAAATCACAGCACCTGCCCTTGTTCATATCTGAGAGCAACTTCAGCATGATGTCTGGTCACCTGTCCTCTTATCAGTTTGAAATCTGTTTAAGCATGTCTTTTAACATTTTTGTACTGTTCTGTAAAGTAGCTCAATTTGATCAAATATACTTCATGTGATATCAAAACAAAATTCTATAAAAGTGAACACTTGCAGTATCAACTGACGAAGAACGAAAAATAATTCCACTTATGATAATTATATTATCAACATCTGTTGATTGTTTTCAGGCTTTGAGTGATTAAAGTAAACGGATAGTTCTGATCAGGTAAGACATCACAACAAGCAGATCTGACTGCTTTTTTGACTACAACCGTCCCCTCAGGCAAAAAAAAAAAGAAGTTTTACATCATGCATCATAACAATTCACCTGGCTGTTGGACATCTGTGTGTGAAATCCTTCAGTTACTCCTATCTACCCGTCAGCCAAGTGTGATCTGACAGACATCATGTAGCATCATGTAACTCTGCACCGCTGACATCTACAAGCAAGGCTAAGGTGCAAAGCAGTTGGTGTGGAAAACATCCACTTAAGGCTATCACATTTCAGATCTAGTGTAACAGTTACATCATGTGCTTTGCATATTTGCAAATCGATCATCAAGGTTATTATGCTGGTAAAATTGATGCTTCCTGACATTTTGGGGTTATAAAGAGGGAAGGTAGGATACAGTCAGTCATACATACATGCCAGTTGATCCATGCAGTTTGACAAGGAGTCAAGCTCTTTCAATATGTGTTCCAGATCAATGCAGGCAGCTGAGACATCTCGCACTGTGTCACTTCCTGTGTTCTCCATCTGAAAATGCATTACATAACAACAACATAAACTTTATCATATGCCAAACTAAAGAAACAGACAACTTGAAATACAACCATGTTTGCTATTGTAACACTCAAACTGGAAGTTGAACATAAATTAACCTCAGAACAACAAAAAAAAGTACCAGCCAAGTGTCTATGAATAAAACCACAGAACACAACTGTAACTTGTTTTATTTCAATGTTTATTCAATAAATCAAGTTAAATAGATTAGAACTATTTGCCTACAAAGAACACAACAATAGAATGCTTATATAAACACACAAACAGTCAAAGTAGCTGAGCAGTGATGTAAAAAACATCATTTCAAATGCATAGAGAGTTCATGGAAGTCCAAAACTTGCTCGGAAGAGTAAAATAAAGTTGTTACAATTGCAAAATTAGCTTGAACACAAACAATATGATTACAGTTTCCTATCTGGACTGTGTCAACAAACCGTCCTCTTGACTTTACTGCAGTAATGTTGTGAACTAAGAATCCCATCAAATGTGTGCTGCAGCAGAATCCCATCAGATGTGTGCTGCAGCAGAATCCCATCAGATGTGTGCTGCAGCAGAATCCCATCAGATGTGTGCTGCAGCAGTAGCATCAAGAACTTCGGCCTTCTCTGGCTGCTGTACTCCAAACACAGCAGCTCTGCATCTTCTATAGGCCTCTTCCAGTTTCTGCAGAGAAGACCCCAGCTCTGGACTGGTCCGGAGTGCCACCAAGTCATAAGCCATCCAGGTCACCTGAACTACAGGTGGGAAGAAAATTAAGATTTAAGCGCAACTAATTGAACACTAGTGTTAAATAAAGTCAATTCAATGCTACAGTGCAACATGGATACAGACCTGATATATTCTCAACGTTTTCTATCATTGTCTCCAAATCCTTGTTTAACTCCAAAACGCCTTCGTTGTTGTCACGTGGGATCTCCGGGAGCGAAGCTGAGCCGGTCATCTAAATTAAAAACCGGTTTATACTTAAATTATTATTTTTCGTTTGGCAAATAGGAAGACGTAAAACTACCTTCAGCTTTCTGCCGCGTAGTTGTCATGGCAACAAAGTCTGGCGTTAGCTAACGTTAGCTTGCGGCGCTACTATCTGACGTAAGCTAAGTCGTTCTGAGCTAGTTGCTTGGTAACGTTACGGTGATTAAATTGAACGTATTTTCTTTTATGCTTTGTACAAATAAGATGGTTGTTGTTACACATTAGCGCAAGTTATAGCTTACACGAATTAAAAATGTGAGAAACTTACGATAGAAAGTCTTCCTTTCTTAGGATGTTAGGTCTCGCGATAGCTAGCTTGACCTGTAAAAAGAAAAAAGCGAGACTGCACTGCGCAGACTCAGTAGAAAAACGGCTGACTCATTCTGCACATTTTTTTTTTTTTACATACAACAGCATTTTCCATCATAATAATGCTTATAATTAATATTATAATCATATAATATTATGATAATGATACACTTTGGCTGAACATCTTGATAAACAGAGATCGTTTTCAGTAAAACTACGCAGGAAAAAAATTAGCTGGTTAAAAAAAATTCAAAAGGCTTCATATTTTCAGACTCAAGCGAAGTCACATTTTCTTGTTATTTTTTCCCGACCAGGCTATCCTAGGAGCACTGGTGACACTGACAACAATAATATAGCAGGCCAGCAGAACTCCATCAGACCCAACCTGTCAGGCAATAAAAACCAGAAAGAGGTGAGTGGATCCAGGTTGGGCTTTATAGTTACATAGCCTTTCTTTAATACCACTTTTAATCTCTCTCACATGATAAATTCACGTCTACAGTTTAACTGGATGCATTGTATAACATTGTTATTATTTACAGTCTATGATTGGACTTAATAAAGCTATTTGTCATTTTTAAAATCAAACCTTGGACTTTATGCAAAAGGTTGGACAGGAATCATCTGCTACAGTGTTTAATACAAAAAATGTAAAGCGAGGTAAAGAGGTTGGTTAAGAAGGATTAGTCTATTAAAAGGACATTTTCATCATAATTGTAATACTTTATTTCTTTTCATTGTTGGAGAAACTCATTCATGTTCACAATGTGGCTGTCCATAGTATACAGAAGAAAGAATGATTTAAGTGTATATTCTTAAATGGCCAAGCAACAATATTATTCTCTGTTTCAGTACGCACCGTTATATTTCAAAATGTACGAATGACTAAGTCCATTATTGTTAAAAAAAAACAACTTGAGTGGAAAATTATTTAATTGAGGGTGTAAAAAACCCCTGGGGGAACTGAATTAGCTGACAGCAGGAGAAAGAAAAAAAAGAAAGCAGGAACTGAATATTCACCTGAGAAAACAACCAATCGCACAGGCAAGGGGGCGTTTCCTGAGGAAACAGATAAAGCCGGTATGACAGGTGACATCTTGACATACAGCAAGGGCAAACAGACAAGAAAGGGTTGGAGAAGAGTAAATTAGAAGCAGGGAGACCATCATTTGGATCAGCAGCTAACATTCAAATACCTGAAGAGGTCTGAACAAGAAAGGACTTTCCTTGGTTGACAGAATCAAAAAAAGTTTGGCAGAGAAAGGAAGGACAACCAAAGGATTAAGAAGAGACATTCAAAGGTGAGAGGAAACCTTGACAATGTCTTCATTTGAGGCCCAGGGCCAGTCTCCTCCTAGGTGTGGCCCACAGTTCCCAAGCCTGGGCCAGGAGCCTCCCGAGCTCAGCATGTACAGCGACTGCTATTACCCTCCTCCCTCCCTGCCGAGTCCTCAGCGCACCACGCCGACCTCCTACGACCTGAGCGACTACACCACCTCCTCTCCAAACCCTTACCTCTGGTTCAATGGCTCTGGCCTCAACACATCACCGTACCTGGCCACCACCGGCCCGCCTGGCAACCCCGGCCCGCCCTTTGTCCCTCAGCACTACGGCATACAGAGGCCTTACCTAGGTCCTACTGGGTCCGGGGGTCCGGGAGGGGAGCTGAGCTGGTTCTCTCTGCCCTCACAAGAAGACTTGATGAAGCTGGTCAGGCCACCGTATTCCTACTCCGCTCTCATCGCCATGGCTATCCATGGAGCACCAGACAGGAGACTGACCTTGAGTCAGATTTACCAGTATGTCGCTGACAACTTCCCTTTCTATAATAAGAGTAAAGCAGGCTGGCAGAACTCCATCAGACACAACCTGTCGCTCAATGACTGCTTCAAAAAAGTACCAAGAGATGAGGATGATCCAGGTAAGATTTTTAAGTTAAAGTCTATTTTATATTGTTTTGTTCTATGATCTGTTTTAATACCTTGCACAAGCTAGTAGATATTTGGATTTAATTTTCATCTTTAGTTTAGGTGTTTGTTGTTGGTTTGAATGTTTTTTTACATAATAAATCGATATATTTGTTTTATATTTTAACTGGAACCTCGCCAATTCTATATTTTCTTTCTTTACAGGCAAGGGTAACTACTGGACGCTTGACCCAAATTGTGAAAAGATGTTTGACAATGGAAACTTCCGCCGCAAAAGGAAGAGGAAGTCTGATTCTGTCCTTGCTGGTGATGGCGGTCCGGGGGCTCCAGAGTCAGGTGACAGCGAGAGGGGCAGCCCCAAACACTCTGCCTCCCTTAACATCTCCCCCACAGCGGACAGGATCCCCTCCCCTTCGCCGTCAGGTCCCGCACCTTGTCTAAGCAGCTTCTTATCTGAGATGTCTGGAGTGACAGCCGGGGCAGCTAATGAGGTGGGGGGTGATGGGTTGAGCCGGCCCCTGCAGATCAATCTTTCCCTCGACGGGCCTCATCGACCCCTCCAACCTGGAAGCTTCAGCAGCTACTCCTCCAACTCAGGTGGCCCAGAGTGGGTGCCACAAGTGCCAGGTACACCTGTGCTCTCCTCTTCGCCCACCCATTCTTCCCTAGGCTACACAAGCCCCATCCTCAGCCAGTACTCTGGCTCCAGTGGGCATTTCTACCCCACATTGGGCTCAACAGGAATCATCTATCATCGTGAGGGCACAGAGGTTTAATCAGACATTTGGGGGGGGAAGTTTGTTTTAAAAAATGACTTTTCACTTGTCCGGTCACTTTAGTTTTTGAGAGGCTCTGAAAGACACAAAACACACACACACACACACACACACACACACACACACACACACACACACACACACACACACACACACACACTATGTTTGTGCTGACTGAGACAGTGGAGATCTCTATACCGTGTGACAGTCGAGTAAAAAGGCTTTGATTCCCACAGGAAACGCTGAGTCAGCAGCAATGGCCGACAAGTGTCACTCCCTTAACCCACAGTCAGTCACGCTATCAGATCATCAGTCAGCTTTTATTCTAAGTTAAGCTAGTCTCTATCAGATCTGACTCATTATTAACTGATCCCAGATCTGATCTGCTGACACCAGGTCATTCACACACAGCTCTCTGTGATTCTGTGATGCTATCAACTCTATAACGCTCAGACAGCACATTTAGACAAGTAGTTAAATTACACTACATCAAGGTGTGAAGCCTTTGTGCTGAAAGAAAGGACCAAACCTAAAGTGAAGACTTTCTTTGTAGAATTGAAACAAGCTATCTGCTGAATTTACAATCCGATACAGAAGTGGTACTTTGTAAATATGTCAACGTGATGTTTAATGTTAGATTTATATTGTGGGTTTGTTGGTATTTCTCTGTTATTGTACAAATGCTTTCCTAATGTATGGTGTAATCTGTTGTGTTTTTGATATGAATAAAATCTTATAGAATTCTACAGTTGAAGTTTCTATTATTTTTTTATGAAGAATAATTTATCTAAGCTTTGTGATTTCTCTTGAAGAGCCCACCCCTTTTAAAAAAAAACAAGGAAACTAACAAAGACAGTAAGCACCGACTGACAGAAAACAGTCCTGCCAGGAAAGCGATGACCAGTAGAGTAGAACCTGCATGTCGGTGAAACCTGATCTTTGTGTGATGGATAGTTAACTGAATCTTAACAGTGAAAATCCACATTCCCATGCTGCCCCTCTCCGCCACAGTTAACACTAAAATCCCTGTCTTGTCACCCCATCTATGCACAGGAACTGCTGACTGGGTGCAAGTGGAGAGGGACCAACTGTTAAAAGCTCTAAAAATGCTGAAGCATGACCTGAACTAAATAAACAAAAACCCCTCAACACTTTTCATGACAGGTTGATTTTTAAAAAGTGCAATGAAAGTGTGATTTTCAATGTTTTTTTTTAAATTATCAAAAAAGTTCTACAACCTCAAAACACCTTCAAGTGAATGAAAGCAAAACAAGAACATACTGTACAATAAATGTAAAGTATGTGTGAAGTTTTATTGGCTTATTCACATAAAAACAGGTCCAAACTTAACATTTTTAGTTTTCTTCATTCTGACCCTGCCATTCTTAAAAAAATAATAATAATAAGGGGAAGAAATCCTTGGGAGCACCGATAGCCCAGCAGCTTTGTAGCGTGCCCCTGTAGACCTCGCCGTAGAGGCCGTGTGTTCGCTATGCTGCATGTCATCGCCCTCGCTCTCCTCCCAACATTTCCTTTCTCTCTTCAACTGTCCTATCTATTAAAGGCTAAAAGGCCCCAAAAACATGGTTAAAAATAAAGGGGGAGAGAAGAAATACTTAAAGCAACATGTTGAGCAATGAAGAAAATGTAGTATAAATATGAAGACTACAAAACAGTACTCTAAAGTTTGATAGTAAAGGGTGATTAAAACATGTAAAGTCAAATGTGGAGTAAGAATTTCAGCTCGTACAATTGATAATATGTTACTCTTATTAACGTTTCTACACACAGCAGTTTAAATGCATTCACTAATGTTATAATAAAGATTATAATACGACCTGGAACACAAGTGTATGAGTCCATTGATGCTGCACTGTAGTTAATATTAGGGCTTAATTTTAAAATTTCAAAACTATTTGCCATTTAAAAGTAACTTTTTTTCTACATTTATTAGTTTCATAACCAAAGATGGTTGGCTCTCATAAACGGAAATTTCCAAATATTAACCTTGGTTTTATTCCTTTTCCAAGCTGCCCTGTAAATGTGTAATTTGAATAAATATTAAGTCTTTGATCGGTGTCAGCCTTAGGCCTTTATTTACCCTGAAACACAGGCAGCATGACAGTCATTTACACTAAACACAAGACAGAAAGAAACACACACTGAGAGAGAGAGAGAGAGAGAGAGAGAGAGAGAGAGAGTACACGCTTAAGTGGAATTTAACAATCTGGCACAATTGACAAAGTGTATTAGTGGTTGGAGGTTAACAGGTCACCCTGTTAAAATTTGCATAACTGATTTTAAAACAAGTGTTGAGGTTGCATTCAGATCACACAGTCCTGCTTTTTGTTTTAATACATATCTGATTTAACTGTGTGGAATGTCCTGCCTCACATTGCGCCATAAACCTCAGCACTCTTTCTGGGAATTATGACTCTGCCAAACTCGTATGCAAATAGATCATCCTTTCCTGCAGATATTACAGGACGGATCAGGAGCTTCTTAAAGAAAGAGAGAGAGAGAGAGAGAGAGAGAGAGAGAGAGAGAAAGAAAGAAGCGGGAGATAAGCAGAGAAAAGAGGAGACAAAGGAGAAAAGCACTGTAAATATGGGAGGTATCGCTGTCCCAACATGTCACACTGCTTTCCCAAATGGTCTTGCCAACTTTAAGTACTTTAAGCTGCCAGTTGTGTTTATTTTTTTTCCTCCATATCTTGTTCAAGCTGACAGGTGAAAGATGTGGCATCAAGGAACAGGGGTGGCCCTCTGCCTCGTCGATCCAGCGCGCCCATCTCTTCTCTGCCAACAGAAACATTATAGGGCTTTTGTCTCAGAGACTTCATTAACAGCAGACGTCTCACCTTCTGCTATCTTCTTTAGACAGTTTCAAATCGATGCAAATTTTGCAGCCGTTAATCACACCACTGATGGGAATGACAGGGTCAGAGGGGAAAAAGGTACTCCTCCAGATGGAGTGTTCCAGATAAGAAACGGCATTTATAACCCATCTGTTTTATTCTATTTCCCAGTAGAACCTTGTATTAAAACTCTCCTCTCTTTCTTTAACTCGTAGTGCATCCATTTTCAAAATAAAGCCATGCTGTATCTGAGCCCAAGCTATTCTACTTGTATCAGGGAACACCGTAGTTACTGTAAGCTGTGGACCTTCCTCGCCTCGGGCACTAGAAATTATTGCTTAACAGAGTGATGCGATTAAAATCTATAAATCCTCATCTCCACCTGCCGCCTGGCTCGTGGCAGTCATCCACACACCTGTCGATCTAACGGAACGCACTCACACACTAATGTTTAGACGTGCATGTGTGTACGCGTTTTGTGAGGCGCAGGGCTTACAGTGTGTGTGTGTGTGTGTGTGTGGTGTTTATAATATAAACTCAGACAGAGACGATTATACCTGAGCTGTCATGCATGAGAGGGTTTTTGTGAGTTTAAAAAAACAAAACTGTCCTGATTCTACCAGTGCAAAGAAGATATCACACATCTTTCACAAAGACTGAAATGTTGTAAATCTGTTCAGGCTTAGTGAGGAGATGCACGACTTCACTTTTGATAAATGCTACCTGAACAATAAGCTAACTGTCCTGGTACCAAATCAACCCAAAACACACACCTAGTCACAGACAGGCACACACACACACACTCTGTATTTACTAAAACAGTCTTGTCCTATCAAGGCTGTTTAGTAAACGGCAGCAGAGAACGTCAAGCCTGGAGCCATGTCGTCATGCCCAGTGCTTCAGCTCTTCATTACCAGCTTGCTGTTATGTGTAAACACCCACACACACTCCAGACACACGCATACAGGTGATGAAAGGAGTCATGTACCGTGCCCTTGAGTCTGGAAGTCATTGAACAATCTTTGCTTTTCTTGTGCTCTTTAGAGGTCAATGGAAAACACTTGAATTTGTTACATTTCTGTCTTTGATTTTATCCCAGCGCTATTTGCAGACGCTGACTGAAAATGAAATGCTCTTACTTTGAAAATTCTCACATTTTCAACAGGAAAGTTGTGCTATAGAAAAAAATATGAAAACATTATAACTCCATGTTATTAATACTCAGACAAGCGTCAAATTGTAATCTCCAGTGTCCAGCATGCTTAGTCCATGGAAGAAGTCCCAGTTTGCCCAGTCAATCCCACTCAAGTTCTGGATGTATAAAAAGGAAGCAGGTCCTCTTGTGAAATAGAGAATCCCAGTGACTCAGACCCCAGAGAGAAAGGCAGTGAGTGATCTCTCCTGCCTAAACACAGCTTATATACACGATTTGGCCAAAAGTGAAGTTTAAAGACAAACAGAGAGTGCAGTGAGACGGTGTGTATATATCAATCATTTCTATTTCACCCTAAAATATTTTCCATGTCAACATGAAGTAAACATGGCGATGTGAACAGGGCTTTGCAGTGAGGGAGGGAGTAGGGGGAAGAAGGGGGGATAACGTGTATACATCTCAGTGATTATCTGATGAACTGGGGGGGGGGGGGGGGGGGGTCCGGATTGGCACTTTGTGGTTCCCCACTCTCTCCTCCCGCCATTTGTCTCTCCATAGCTGTCCTAGTGAAGGCAAAAGGGCCATAAAGATAAAATATATAAATCATAAATCTAAATTTGTAAAAACTAATGACTCATTGACATTAAAAAACACATATATAATATAAATCAATGCCTCTGTATTTGTAATAATGTTGTTGCTCTCAAAACCTTTAATCCAGCACTACCATAAAATTAAAATGTTCATTTGTCCAATGCTCTACAAGTGATGACACTGAACTTTGAAATTAGTGCTAAATCAGAAAATGTTAGCATTCTAATATGCTAAAATGTGCATGCTAAACATACCAATCATGCAAAAAAAATGCAACATTTTCAATGTTAACACAAAGATAACCATTGATCATTTGCTCACTATAGCTTCTGAGTTGCTTTTATGGCTGTAGGCCATAAGTAAGTCATACTTCATCAAGTATCTACTTGTGATCGAAAATAATGTGCAGGTGAAAACATCCTTTAAACACAAAAATTATGTTTCTGAAAAAGCAAAAAAAATAAGGTTTTAATTACTCATTTGCATTCCTAACTAAGGAGTTCAATATCAAATGGTCACATCAAGTTCTCAATAACACTCCTTCAGAAGGAAAAGGAGAAAAGATACAGTATGTAGTTCAAAGTAAGAGTGTGT